CAGGAAAATGAATCTTATTAATGAATAGAACATTCATTAGGAGGGTACCATCAAATAAATGAAGAAATATATTAATTTGACAGCAACATTCTTAGACTTACCTTTATATTGAGTGATATGATTCCAAAGGGGTAAATTTTCTTTTTCCTTTCTTTTGGTACTACAGATTGAACCCAGGGGCACTTAACCACTGAGTACATCCCCAGCCCTTTTTATATATTTTTTTTTTATTTTGAAGCATAGTCTCACTAAGTTGCTGAGGCTTTGAATTTGCAATTCTCCTGTCTCAGCCTCTGGAGCCACTGCATGAATTTTCAATTCTTGAATTTGTTTTATCCTTGATTTTTTAAAGTTTGTTTTTCAGTGAATTATAGTTATACATAAAAGGAGAGTTCATTCTGACATATTCATAAAAGAAGTAACATAGTTTTCTCCATTTCAATCCTAATACTCCTTACCTCTTCCCTTTTCTTTGCTTTCTCTCTGGTTCCCTTTCTCTTTTCTATTGGTCTTCCTTCTATGGACTTATTTTTCACTTGATGCATTATAGTTACATATAATTGGAATGCACTGTGATATATTCATAAATGTCCCTAGAATAATTTGGTTAACTACATTCCCCAGTTCTTCCCCTTCCCCTTGCCTCCTTCCTCCCCAATGTGTCCCCCTACCTGCAAAGCACACTTCTACTCTTCCAATGTCCCTTCTATTTTTCTGAAAAAGTGATGGTTAGATGTCATAGAAGAAAGTGGCAATGTCTTAATCTAATGCCTACTGTCTGGCCCAATGGCTCTTCCATCCTTGTCAAGGGAGTTATAACCTTTTATCCTGTCATTCAACACTATCACTCAATTGCTTTTTAAAAAAAATTTTGGTTGTAGATGGACACAATATCTTTATTTATGTATTTATTTATTTTTATCTGGTGCTGAGAATTGAAGCCTCACATGCACTAGGCAAGTGCTCTATCACTGAGCCGCAACCCCAGCCCTCAACTTTTTCTTAATTATCTCATTTGCAAATACTCTTTCTCTTAAAAATTTTTCACACGAAACTGGAAAGGTAGTAGAGGTTTTTGAAAATCTATTGCTTTAGCACGTACAAGGCCTACAAAGCCCCGAACAGAGGAAAAGAGGGAAAGAAAAGGAGAAGAAAGAAAAAATGGAGAGAAAAGAAAGGGAGTCCATTGCAATAACTCCCTTCTAAAAATCTATAGTCTAGAACTATAATAGCAGAAGAGAAAAATGCACAGATGAATGTAAAAGACAAATTCATTTGATCTGATGATTAATGATTCACAGATTATGGGGAGAAAGAAAAAGAAGCAATTAGTAATATATTGTATGGAAGGAGTGTCAAAATTGGAAAAGTTAAAAAACAGAGACAACTGTTTTAGAGAAATTGATAAATTTAGTTGAAATTAGTAATAAATTAATATATAGGTTATTTTGGTAGAAAATTCATCACTGACAGTATGGCATGTTAGAAAAATCAATGTAATTTTATGTGTATTTTTATTTTACTACTATGAACTTCATAAAGATGAGTTCTAAATCTTATTCATTGTGTAATCCCAGCACTGATCTTAGTTAAAATAATTTTCAGTTGAGTCAACTCAAGATTAATTCCTGAACACATATGCTCATTTAAAATTAAATGTAACATGAAGACAGGCAGGGAAGAGAATCTTGAAAATTGTAAAGAGCACAATGTTTGATCATAAGATACTATTTAAAAAATTTAGACTTTCTAAAATAAATAAAACTAATATTTAAAGACAAATAATATATTTTGATGAAATCAAAATTTAAGCATTAAGCAAATAAAGTAAGATTTAAGCTATTTTAAATTTGGTTAAATGGATGCATACGGCAGTTTTTCATTAAATTAAAAATAATTTTAAAATACCAATTTTTGAGGTATTTTAACAATGAGGTTTTGTATTCATAATTATCTGATTATATTTCTTATGAGGTTTTTATACCTTTATTATGAGAAGTAGAATATGTTACTTTAAAAATCTATTGAACATTGTGAATTGTGCCGCTATAAACATTGATGTGGCTGTGTCCCTGTAGTATGCTGTTTTTAAGTCCTTTGAGTATAGACCAAGGAGAGGGATACCTGGGTGAAATGGTGGTTCCATTCTCAATTTTCCAAGGGATCTTCATACTGCTTTCCATATTGACTGCACCAACTTGCAGTCCCACCATCAGTGTATAAGTGTACCTTTCTCCCCACATCCTTGCCAACACTTATTGTTGTTTGTCTTCATAATAACTGTCATTCTCACAGGGATGAGATGGTATCTTAGAGTAGTTTTGATTTGCATTTCTCTACCACCCTACCACCAAGCCACAACCCAGCCCTCAACTTTTTCTTAATTATCTCATTTTCAAATACTCCTTCTCTTAAAATTTTTTTTCACAGGAAATTGGAAAGGGAGTAGAACATTTTTTTCATATATTTGTTGATTGATATCATCTTCTGAGAAGTGTCTGTTCAGGTCTTTGGCCCATTTGTTGATTGGGTTATTTGGTTTATTTGATGCTTAACTTTTTGAGTTCTTTATATGCCGTAGAGATTAGTGCACTATCTGATGTGTGAGGGGTAAAAATTTGCTCCCAATAACTGTGGAAAAAACTTAGATGTCCTTCTGTAGATGAATGGATTAAAAAATGTGGCATATATACACAATGGAATATTACTCAGCTATAAAAGAGAATATAATCATGGCATTTGCAGGTAAATGGATGACACTGGAGAAGATAATGCTAAGTGAAGTTAGCCATTGCCCCCAAAAAACAAATGCCCAATGTTTTCTCTGATATAAGGAGGCTGATTCATATTGGGGTAGGGAT